ATAGAGAAATGAATGGAAGAGAACTAAATCCTTACCTATCTTCACCAAACATGTAAGATAGATCAGGAAAGAGCCAGGTGTGGTAGCTCACACCTGGAATTTCAGAACTTGGGAGGCTGAGGTGAGGGGATTGCCTGAGCTCATGAGTTTGAGACCAATCTGAGCAGGAGCAAGACCCCATCTCTAAAAAAAAAATAGCTGGATGTTGTGGCAGGCACCTGTAATCCCAGCTACTTGGGAGGCTGGGGCAAGAGAATCACTTGAATCCAAGAGTTTGAGGTTGCTGTGAGCTAAGACATCATAGTACTCAACAGAGGGTGACAAAGTGAGACTACGTCATACACACACAAAAAAACCATAGATCAGGAAATAACTATAAAAGCATATTTGTGGGAAATCTCATGGTCAGTAATAATTGCCATTGTGAAGCAAAAGGTTGAGGAGAGGGAGACAGGGACTGCTCATTTCCCATAATGAGCCTTTTACTAATATTCAGTTTTTTAACTGTGCACATATTAATTGGATGAGAAAAGATTAAACAAAAATTACTAATTATTTAATGTGTATTTATATAAATACGGCATGGTGAAAGCCTTCTAAGAATGCCTCAGTGCATCTTCTATTTTGCTAGCCAGCCATCCACTGCCCCTTCTGTAATTTGACTTTCCTTCCTCCTTCACCGTGATGCCTCATTGTTCAGAAGCATCTCTCCATCCCCGGTTTCAGCAGTGACTTGTGATTCAGGCCCAATCCAACCTATGATCCTGGCCCTCTGCCATGCAGATTTTTTTTCTCCCACAGATAGGCACAAGGCCCAATTTGAGCCAATGAGAGCTATAAAGAGCCCTGTGAAAATGCTTAAGAAAAACATGCTCATGCCTGGAGATGCTGGTTACCATCTTGCCACCAAGAATGGAGTTGACAGGGTGCATAGCCTGGACAAAAGGTGGGGAGAAGGCACCTAAACCCTGATACCTGCAGATGAGCCCCTGGTTCTACCCAGACCAAAGTTTGTCTAGCCCTGCCCTTTCCATAATTATAAAAGGTAGTATCATGTACTGGAAAGCAGTGGACTGCTTGGATCCAAACTGCAGCTTTACTACCTAGCAACTGTGTTACCTTGGGCAGGTCACTTAACCTGTTCCATATCTATAATAGTACCTAGCTTGCAGGATCAAATAAGTTAAAATATATAATACATAGCATGTACATTTGATATATATGTATAAGAATATGCATATAGCTTAATATAGATACATATTTCTGTTTTGAAGCTCATTTACATTTATATATACAAGAACATATATAAATAGCTAGTTTTATTATTAGCAATTAAATTTCTTTTTTTCCTCAAGCCAGTCTAAGTTGAGTTTTCTTTTTTTTTTTTGAGACAGTCTCACTTTGTCGCCCTCAGTACAAGTGCCATGGCATCAGCTCACAGCAACCTCAAACTCTTGGACTCAGGCACTTCTCTGGCCTCAGCCTTCCGAGTAGCTGAGACTACAGGCCCCCACCACAACGCCTGGCTATTTTTAGAGACAAGGTCTTGCTCTGACTCAGCCCAGTCTCAAACCTGTGAGCTCAGGCAATCCACCCTCCTTGGCCTCCCATAGTGCTAGGATTACAGGCGTGAACCACCGTGCCCAGCCTAAGTTGAGTTTTCTGATACCTGCAAGTAGCAGGATCTTGACCAATTCAATCACCCAAAAGAAAAACCATAAAAAACCAACCAAAAGATTTAAGGAGCTATGCATAAAACATGAACCTTCTCTTTATCAGAAGAAACTATAAAAAAAATTAAAAAGTAAATAGAAAAGGAAGAATGCAGCCTTTAGGATTCATGATGTTTTAGTCCCTTACAAATAACAAGATGGAGATGCTACAGGAAATGGGCAAAAATATAACACACGATTCACAAATAAAGAAACAGAAATGCAAAATAATTTTCTTTTTAAAAATCAGATGGAATGAACCCAGAACTAATTTTTTCCAATGACACAGCTAAACATTATTTTAAATTTTATTATCCAGGGTTGCCAAGTGCCTCACGGACTGCTTGTGAGAATGTAAATTGGTGCAACCTTTCTGAAAGGCAATCCAGCTATAATAAAAATAAGCAAATCTTTGACACAATAATTTTTCTTCTAGGAATTTATGTAGGCAGATAATTAAAGGTACACGCAAACATTCTCCCTTTAAGTTTGCTTATTGACTTGCATTTCTACAAAAAATTTAGGAAATGAATGTCAAAAAATAGGCTATTCAGTAAAATCCATACATTTCAATATTGTTCAGTAACTTAAATTGTTGATGGAAAATATGTATCTATATAGATAAAGCAGGATGTCCATGATTATCAAATGAAATAAACAGGTAACCAAACCATACAGTATGAGCCTCTTTTAGCTGAATATTTACATATACATACATCTACAAAAAGATATAATGAAATACACATCAAATTATAGCAAAAAATGTGGTTGAATTATGAACCTCCTAATTTTCTAAGGGTTTTTTCCTGCTTATATGTACATTTTATTCTTTTCCCAATGAAACCTTACTATTTTCAGTAAGGAAAAAATGGATTTCAAGTTTATTAAAAGACAAGTCACCTCTAAAAGTGATTTCAGTGTTGCATTTGAAGCTAAAAATGCATGCAAGCTGTTAGGGGGAGCACAGATGATAAGAAAGTCAAAGGAGTGGAGTCTCAAATGTTAAGAAAATCTGGTTGTAAATACAAAGTCTTAAGAACATATGTAGTCTCTAGTCACTGAGAACCTGCACTAGAGGAGAGGAAGAGGCTGAAGACACAGGAAGAGGAAACTGAGGTGGGAGATGTCTACTGAAGCTTCCGACAGCAATGTACTGTGCTTGCCATTCTCCAGCTGCTTCCTCTTGAGCTGGGCTGAGCAGCTTTACCTGGAGTCCCAGACTCTCTTCTTCCTGGTGCCACGCATGGTCTGATGCTGCACTGACCGGAAAAGGGGGCAGAATTTCCCCTGGGCAGAACCCATACTTACGGCCTCTGGATGTCTTAACCCTCTACACTAGGTGCGATAGGCACTTTTCATCAGCAACTTTCACCAGGGAAGAAGACTGGATGCCGGAAGCCCCTCCAGAGGCCATGGTATACCTTTACCCCATCAGTACCCCTACCCCAACAACTGCAGTCACAATGTACACTTGATCTTAAGAAAAAAAGGAGTTTTTGTCAATTCATAGGGTCTGCAGGCTCTGTAAGAAAGATTACGTTTTCTTTTCATTTATTTTAGGCATATTAACAGCTGGTGACCTAGATTAAGAAATAATTTAATATGTGAAAAGGCAGACCATATCACTAATTCCTTCACAGATGGAAGGTGGATTCAGTGAAAACCTTCAGACTTAATATTCAAGTAATTACTTGGAAGGGAGGGAGGAAGAATATCTACAAGTGGGTAAAATGCAGTACAGAAATAAGATAACAAAACCCCGCTCAGCTGCCAAGGCCAGCAGATCCCTGGCTACTTTGTGCACAAGTAACCAGGGCCTGGAAAGGGGCAGGAAGCCTTGCTAATTCAGCTGCTGAGGGAGCGGCAGGAGGAGGATCACGTTAGTTCAGGATGAGCTTGGGTAGATATTAAAAGAAATACAATCCTCTTACTGCATTGAGAGTGTGCCTGTGTGCAGGGAGGAACGAGCGGCAGCCACCAGCCTCTGGGCCTGGGGACAAAGGGATCAGTGCCCCCTCTTGCTCAGCTCCAGACCTGAGGGGGCAGCCTGCGCTTGGGTCTGAAGAGGGAAATTCACTGTCATAGTGAGCAACAGGACAAATCTGACTTCCAGTCAAGCCGGAAAACACTAAACACCCCACATCCCAGGACGGAAAATACTGCCACGTGAAGGAAAGCACGGTTCACTGATACCGATCACGGAGCTCATTAGCCGGGATTCATTTTCAAGTACAACGCTCAAACTACAATATACATGTACTCTGCTCAGGACACAAATGAAGACATTGGCGCCATCAGATACCGCAGGGACCAGGGAAGCCAGGCAAGCCCGTTGCCTGCTATAGCACCTCTCCAACTACTTGGAGCTGTGCCAACTGTGGACCTGCGTTGCATTTGTGAACGTCTCTGGGATGGAAAAATAAGTTACTGTGGCCAATTTACTGGGGGGCTTGCAAAACTACAGGGAACCTAACAGAGTGACATGGGTTTCATTTTAAATTCAATTAAAACAACCCCCTTTGTGCTGAAATGTGCAAAGATCTGTTAGGTTTGGGTCATATATGTTTTTGACTTTCCAGAGAAGGGCACTGGCGTCAAAAGGGTGACAAATACATAGACAAAAAAAAAAAAGTATGTGTATCTAGATCTCTGTTTTGAACTCCAGGATTCACTCGACAGCGCCGTATAAAGCGGTCGGTTGTTGCAATCCAGCCCTATTTGGCTAAACAGATTTTTTTGGTGGCTACTCTGCTAAATCGTTCTTTCCTACCGCACCACCACCACCACCCGCGAGGAAGGACGGCTGCCGCAATCTCCTGCCCGGATCTGCGGGCCGCGTCCCCGCCAGCCGCCTGCGGGCGAGCTGCGAGCGGGCGCCGGGAACTGCGGCGCGAGGAGATGCGCTCTGCTCCCAGCGCAGCCGGCGAGCGGCCGCACCTGCGACTGCCGGTGCTTGGCGCCCGGCGAGGGACAGCGACCATCCCGGCGGACTCTGGGGGCCGCGCCAGCCGCGAGGGAGGTCCCGGGGGCCAACACAGCCCTTGCCTCCGGGGCCGGGGTCTGCGGGTCCCTGGCGCTCCCGCTTCCCGGCCCGGTCCCCGCGACTCCCGGGTCTCGCTTTGCTGCAGTCGCCGCGCGGAAGGCAAAGCGTCCCCGCGTCCCTACCCGGCCCGGATCCGCAGAGCGCCGCACCCCGAGACTCAGGCCCCGCACCGCCGCAGCCGGAGCCCTGCCGGACGCGCCCCCGCCTCGCGCCACCTCCCCGTCAGCCCGCCGCCCTCTGCTGACCTTTTCTTGCGCGCGGTTGAGTCGCTTCTGGACGTTCTTAGCGAAGATGCCCGTCTTGATGTCGGCCATGGCTGCGGGTCCGGGGAGCTGCGAGGAGCAGAGCGCGCGGCGGCCGGCGGCGGCGCGGAGGAGCGGGTGGAGGCGGCGAGGCGAGAGGAGGAGCGGGAGGAGCAGAGGAGGAGCGGGAGAGGCGCCGGGAGCCGCCGAGCGCGGGGAGGGCGGAGGGCGGGGCGCGGCGCGGCGGCGGGCCGGCTTACCGCCACCCGGCGGAGGCGGGATGCGTGGGGACTGGCTGTGACTCCGTGTGATGGGGGGGGGGGGGCAGCAAAAAAGGGAGAAGCCGGAGGCCTGATGACCAGCTAGTGCCTACGGTGGTGGAGCGAGTCAGGAGGAGAAAGGGAAGGGAGCCACGCAGCGGCCCCAGGGCCAGGAGGCAGCTCCGGGGTTCTGCCGCATTAAGTTTGTCTTGGGGGAGAGTGAGACGGCCTGAGTCTTTCAAAAAAAAAAAAAGCTGGGGGGAACGGGAACCCCAGGAATGTGGAAGACATCGGGATTGGAGCTGCTTTCAAGCGGAGGGTGATAGGCTGGTCTCCTGCTGCTCTCTGGAGACCATCCTGGCCCGATGGCTCCCCTCAGCACCATGGGTGGTCAAGGAGGAGGACGCATTTGGCCCTGCCCTCAGGAGGCTCGGAGCCCAGCGGAGGGTGGGGTGGACAGGGGCTGCAGGGAAACTAAGTCCCTGCGGGGCGGTGGAGCGTCAGGAGAAGAGTTGGGAAGGGAGGAAGGGAAGGAAGAACATGGCTGACACCTGTTTAATGTTTAATACAAGACTGGGAGGAAGGGGATCTTTGCTGAAAAAAGCCAGCTCCTACAAGACAGGTGCTGTGATTCGGTCGTCTCTGAAATTCCTTTGCTAAGCCTAAATCCTGACATAGGCACTGTCCCAGAAATGGAGCCTCACGTCAACCATGGAAGACTCAGCCTCTTAACTTCCTTACGAACCTTCTGGCAACCTTACCAGGCATTCACCATTCTCTGTAAGCTTGGCAGAAGTAAAAATAATACTGGTCAAAGGCTCTGGCCAGTAGTCCGACTATTCATACTCAGTTGTTGATGAGAGTGTTGAGGAGAGGAAGGCAGGTGGTGCCCACCAAACAGAGGTTGGGAGTGGATCAAGCACCTGAACCCTGTGAGTCCGGGTGGGCAACCCCCATACTCCTGGAGGAAAACGTTACATTGGTAGACCCCAGTGACCTGCCCCCTAGTGTTCACTCCTGGGCAGTCCCTTAGTCCCCTCCCCTGGATTCTAGAAAGATGCTATGAGTAGCTTTAATCGCTAGTACACGGTGAAAGTGATGCTCTGCCAGTTCCAGGCCTCAGCCTTGAGAAGTCAGGCAAGTATGGCATTCTGGGGAGCCCTGTGCTTCCGTGTGGGAAATTCAGCTACCCTGCTGTAAACAAGCAAACAAACAAAACTCCAAGAAGGGACCACATGGAAAGGGAGAGGCCCTGGAACCAAGTAGGAGAAAAAAGCCAATATATCCCCGTATCCCCACTTAGCCCAGCCTTCGGGCAACTCATTGACAGAATGTAGCCATACAAAGAGCCTTCAGCAAGGCCAGCAGAAAAACCACCCCGCTGATCCCAGCCTAGACTACAGAATGGTAAGTAAATGAAATGTCACTGACTGTTGTGATGATTTATATATAACACAGTAGATAACTGGGACACCTAGTCTATTTGCTTAGCTCCTATTTCCCTAGGATGACTATCTTTCCTAGTTTTCCTAGAAATGAAGAGATTTCCAGAACACAGGAGTTTTAGTGCTAAAATTGGGAAAGTCTTAGACAAACTGGGATAAATTGATCACTTACCTCCAACATCTGAAGTAAACAGAAGTTTACTTCAGAGAGAAGTAATGGGAAATTTGATTTCTCACCATAGGATCGAGATCAGGTCCAGAAACCAGGAATCTGAGTTGCTTTCCTCAAACAGTGGCCTTTAGAACCTCAGCTCTGCCTCGGGGCCTTGATCATGGTACAAGTTCCAGAATGCTGGACTACACCAGAAGTGTTCTGGAGAATGCTCCACGGTCACTCGTACACTGTGAGCCCCAGACCTACCTCTGCTCCCTCTAAGACATCAAGGGACAGAGGTGCCACCTACCAGATTTACTTTTTATTCTCTGTTTTCCTAGAGCCCAAACCATCAGGCCCCATAGTAGTGGCCTTCGTTTCTCTTTCCATTTTACCCCACATTTCCATTTACCCACATTTTTGGAACTCAGAAAGCATCTCTTGAAAATGAAATTACAAATGATAAACTTTTCTTCTTATTCACATGTCCATTCTAGTTCTGTAAGGTGGGTGGGAAAGGGAAGCTTGTCATTTCTTAATAATTCTATTTGGAATACATGCTGAGCAGATTAAAAGTTGCTATGTGCAAACTGTTATCAAATCATTTGACTCCAACTGAGAAGTAAATCCTTGTCCGTTTTCCAGTTGCCACGTGGCTCATTCTAGCCATTACGGCATATTGACTGAGCACTTTAGCTGGGACTTAGCAGCTGTTCTGCAAATATTTGTTGAAAACTGCATGTACACATGAGGCTAGCTAATACGCATCCATCATGCCACACATGTGCTGGAGGTGAGAGAAGACACACTCCTCAAGAAGTCTAAACTGGCTTTCTTGAATTCTTCCCCAGAACCTCTTTAGAGACCTAAATCTAGCATGTTGGAGTTGCACAGATGCTAACAGTGCAGGTGGCTGTAGCTTGCCAAACCCAATAATGCAGGTAAAATGTATCACAGTGTAGCCTGGTGGATCTTTTACTGTTCTGTCCATCCTGCAATAACGCTACTGGAATAGGGGACGGGAGGCATGGGGGGCTGTCCCAGCTGCAATGATTTTAAACACTGTTACACTGTACAGTGGAATCTTTTTTCATAAAAATCTTATGTAGGACCCAATAATCAAATGGGCCTATCTGGTTGCAGAGAGTGCTGGGTGCTCAGAGCCCCACCCATCAGGCCACTTCTTTACCAATCTCAGAACCACAGACTGCCCCTGCAACATATGAGGCTCCACAGGACAGGATGATCACAGTGACATCATCCAAGGCCAGAGTGGTAGGATTGTGCTTTCATGCACGCTTCTCTCATCCTTCAACACTGCTGGACATGCCTACCATCTCCTGATGGCTTGTACCTCTTCCTAGGTTGTCTACTCATTTTCCCCCTCAGTCAGAAATATGTGACTCATCCAATCCATATAGATTTACTATGAATGAAAAGTAATCACAATTGTCTCCAATTTCTGGGACAAGCTTAGATACCAAATTATATTTAATATTTATTTGGGGGTGTTCACAAAAAAAGTATCACAATTCCAACCCCAGATCTTCATCCGTGTAAGGAAGAATTCCTGAATCTAATTTCACTTTGTTTTATTTTCTTTACAAGGATATAAACAAAAATTAATTTTTTAAGAGTTTATTAGGTAGTTTCACAGTTTTGGGAACACTTCCAGAGCCTCTCCCCCGACTCAATGCCTAAGCCTTTAGTCCCCCCAAAACATCAAATTTCACTTTGAATCGTCTTCCTTCCTTCTAAATTGCTCTTCAGATTGGTTGATAAGTGAAATGCGAATTATGGCAGGTTTGGATAATGGCCAGAATAGGCTCAGAATTACTACTGTATTATCACAGAGCTCATCTGCTAACATTTTTAACACACGCACAGAGGTTTATCCTCACCTATCTTTGTATCCAGTCAGTCCAGTTTAGACCCTTAAAGGAAGGAGATGTCCAGATCCATTTTTGTTGCCTAATGTAATTAGCTACAGTTTCTTCCTAATTATTGGGTTTTTTCATATCATTGTGTGGATAATTAAGAAGGTGTTCAATTTAAACATTTAGTTGAACCTAATTGGAATTTTGCCCCCAGACAAATTATGACTAGTTTTCATACTTCACTCTTACTTGAAGACTCAAATGAAATTTTACGTTCTCTCACCAGTGTTAAATGAACACGGTAGCAAAAGTCAGGATGCTCTACAAAACTAAACTTTGACCGAGTAGCTTGCACATTTCAGGTGAAAACAGTCAAGGATAGATTCAGTCAACTCTTCAACTATGCCAGCTATCTATCTTTTTGTTCCACATATATTTTCACTACACTTTGCCTGCATGACTACCCTTTTCCTCTCTGAATTTAACAAAGTCTAAAAATAACAACTTCCTAACTACATTAATAATGCATCACTACTAATGTATCCATCCCAAAATGCTAAATAGGGAGCAAAAGCTTTGTTTTACACAGACAGAGTCCCTGGCCACTAAAGAAAACGGTGACAGTGTTCGAAATGACCTAATAATTTTCATGTGTTTTAGTGCCATGCTTGATGCTTTCATGCAAAGTAGATGCCAAGCACCTCCTATACCCTGAACAAATTGCTCGAACATCACTTACTAGCTTACAAGCCAACCGAGAGGTCAGGGAGCCAAAGTAGAAATTCTAATGAGCCACAACTGTTTTCAGAGAAAGAGACAAGTTCCTGCAAATGTCTGATGCTATTTTCCATGCACAAATAAGCTATGCAAACTCCATGTACAATGCGGCAATCAGCATGTTTATGCTGCTGAGACCACCTCTGTGATTGCTTTCATAGCTCTACTATTTTATCAAGAATGGTTTTCCAGCTTGGACAAACCCCAGCTTTGTAACAGCAATCTACTTCAAAACCTTTTAACAAATGCTTAATTTTACCACAGATTGACAGATTTATTTGGTTTGATGAACCTGTTTTTGGTTAAATTGGTCCATGTTTTTATTTCTGTATGAATTTAGCTATCCAGATGTGCCCCCCTTTGACAGGCATCTCCTGCTCTCTGGCCTGGCTGTCTCCTGACCCAACCTCATGGGACACGAGGACTCCTCCCAAGGTGCTCCCGGAGATGTGGCCACCTGCATAGCAGAGGGGTTTCCTGGTACCATGGGTTCCCTCCACTGTCACGTCCCTCCACTCAGAGCCTTCCTTCACTTCAGCCAAAGCCCCGGGGTAATGATGAGGTCAATGTTGACCTCACCCAGGGCTACAGTGTGATTCTGTATAGAGGAAGTCTGGACTAATATGTTTATCCGTGTTGCGAACATATGCCTACTCCCCTGCAATAAAGCCCCTTCCCTCTCCACGGGCCACATAAACTTGTACTTGTTTTCACGTCGAAATATTACTCCCTTCTCTAAAGACCCCCAACATTCTGTGCTTGGATCCACCTCCAG